TTTTTACCTACGCTGATCTCAAACTGTGATCCTGCTTATCTCTGCAACCCAAGTGGCTGGGATGACATATATATATATGTGTGCTGAATTCAGGTCTACATCTTGAGCCACTCTACCAGCCTCTTTTAGTGAAAGGGTTTTTTTTTGAGATAGGGTCTCATGAACTATTTGCCTGGGCTGGCTTCAAACCAGGATCCTCCTGATCTTTGTTTCCTGAGAAGCCAGAATTACAGGTGTGAGCCACCAGCACCCAGCTTTGGGCAGAATATTTTTATAGAGCTTTATCTTTTATTCTGTGTTTACTTCCTTAAATCTGGATACAGCAAAAGATTACCTAGCCTTATCTTCTAAGTTAAATAAAACTCCAAAAGATATACTGCTCCACCCTTTGAAAGCATGGAAAGAAGTGACATAACAGTTTGATTACTTAGGACTTATTTCCTAGACTTAAACACCAATTCTAATTGGTCTTGCTATAGTTTATCTTGGACATCCCCCAAGTTCTGTATGTCAAAGGCCTGGTCCCAAGGGAGCACTGCTGGGTGTTGGTAAGGCCTTTGTAAGGTGGGGACTCAGTTGGAGGTGTTTAGGTCATTGCAGCCTTGCCCTCAGTGGAGATTCTTCCTCTTCCTTCTCTTTGTTTCCTGAATATGAAGCAAGCAATTTTTTTTCTGTTAAAGCTCAGAACCATGATGTGTGACTTTGCCACAAGCCCAAAACACTGGAGCCAATCAATCATAGAGTAGAACTCCGAAAACTGAACCAGAACAAAACTTTCCTCTTTTTAAGTTAATTACCTTGGGTATTTAGTTACAGTAAGGAGAAGCTGACTAACACAGGTGCTTCCAATTCTTCTCCAGAAAATTAAAGTAATATTTAACATGAAGTTTTATAGCCCTTGTATTAAGGCCAGGGTGTGTATTAAGAGCTTCCTTCAATCTTCCTTTGTGTAATGGTGAAGGAGGAAAAAAAAGAATTTGCTTCAACTAGGGCAAAATCAGTATATTAAAAAAAATGAAAGAGAAAGTAATATATAGACTAAGGTCTTCATTCAACGAAATCATCCTATGAACAAAAGCACCTAACAGCAGATTAGCAGTATTATTTATTTTAGGTCTGAAAACAAAAGGAATATGAATGTTAAAAATCACCCTGCATATACTGTTAGCCTTAGGGCATTTCTGAAATTTCATCCTACCTATGACAGAAAGCCAGAGTAACACCAAATGTAAGTAAATTCGACGGTGTCCTTCACACTCATGCTGGGTCTTCCCCATTGGTTAATTCTCTCTGAAAACACCCTCAGGCACACCCAAGTATGCTTTACTAATCTCCTAGGAGCTTCTCAACCCAATCAAGTTGACAGTCATGATTAACCATCACAAGGATTACAAAAACAAAACTCAGCACCAAGAAAAAGACCAAACCAAACAAAAGCACAAGTGACCAAGGAAAAAGAAACAGTCTAACAAAAGAGAAAACTCTTTAAGTGTTATACTGGATTAGAGACATTGTATCTTTAAAACAGAAATAACCTGAATAAAGATATGGGGGGGGGGGATAAAAAGGAAGAGATTAAGATAAGGGAATAAGATTGATGCACTTCATATACATATACAAAATAAAACAATGAAACCTGCAAATGCTTTAAGTAGGGCAGAGAACGGGTTGGGGGAGTAACTGGGGGGAGATATGGTGAGGGTGATCTAATCAACGTACAATGTAGGGCTATTTAAAATTGTCATAATGAATCCCCCTTGAACAATGAATATATCCTAATAAAAATAGAAAAGAAAAATATATGTACAAAAAGCTTTTGTGAAGTTAAAAAGTATGACTTCTGCCTTTAAAAAGTCAATATTGAACCGGAAACGAGTTATGATAATTTCCTAGTACCAAAAAAAAAAAAAAAAAGGGGGGGGTGCAGAAAAGTGGCATACACCTGTAATCCCAGCACTCAGGAGGCTAAGGCAAGAGGATCCTGAATTTGAGGGAAGCCTGGGCTACATAGACAGGGAGGAGGGTGACTAACAGGTTCAACATTCCAGTTAACAAGAGAACAGAGACGGAGCACAGAAAAGATATGGAATAAAGTAAGCTTCCCAGAGCTAAGTAAGATTTTAAAATGCTTAAAAGAAGACTTGAGACTGAAAGGACCCACTTTTAATAGGCAGAATGCATGACAAAATATCCATGCCTAGACCTATCAGCAGGCAATTTCAGAAAGCTAGGATAAAATTCCCAAAAGTGATCAGGAAGAGGGAAAAAAGAAAATAACCAGCACTAAACAAATATCAACAACAAAAACACTAGGAAACATTGAACAAAATTATTCTTTCACATACTGAGGCAAAATGTTAATAGTATTTTTTGCCAAGCCCAACTACCAATCAAGTATGAGACAAAACAGCTATTTTTCAAATAGATAGGTTTTATTTCTTGCCGTCCTTTCTGAATAAGTTACTTAAGGATGTTCTCCAACAAAAATGAAGAAACCAAAGAAAAGGAAAATATGTGATTCAGGATGAATGAATTTACTGGAGGTAAATTCCAGTAAATGTCAGTGCACAAGGTATCTTAAGAGCAGAGAGCTCAAAAGAAGACAGTAGATTCGTATAACAGATATGATTAGATATCTTTGAAAGGTATATACGTATGTTGATGGCAAATTTCTCTTTAATAATCAGCAAGAAAAAGGAACAAAATTATGCACGAAATGCCATGGTCCTGGCATGTTCTAAACAATTGATGTTAGAAAAGAAAATACATCTGACAACACATCTGACCCTGATGACTAGGAATAAACGCATTGTTACACAAACCTAGAAAAACATAACCCCAGAATACTAATGGATACCTCAGTCAGTGTTACTTTCAACTGTCAGTCCTTCACACAGGCACTCCTTAACCCTGCTTAATTTTTATTCCCATAGCATCAGTTTTTACTGAAACTACACCAAATATATTACATCACTGATCCCAATACTAACCCTCCTGGGACCTGCATATAATTTCTAATCCATAACATTTACAACTACTGTCAGCCAGATGGCAGCCTTGCTCCTGTGTGTGGATATCTTCTGCAAAGATTATTATAAAAGCTCCAACCTCAAAATGCCTCAGATTAGACAAAGAACAATTTTTATTTGCTTGCTGGGATCTCCCCCTCTGCGGTCTCAACAGCTGGGGCATTAACTTATTTTTTTTCCCATCAATTTATTTTTTTTCCCATCTCTCTATCCTTCTAACACAGAGTAGTGACTGGTACAACCAGATAATTTAATCAGTGTCACATTTTTAACCTTTCTGAATTTAGAATGGCTCCAAAAGAATGGACTGCCCTGATTACTTTTCTTTTTAGTGATACACATAATAATAAATTCTGTAACGAAAAATTTAGAGGAACATGAAGACTACAGTGTTAGTGAATTAACTGACCCTTCATCAAAAGATGATCCCAAGTACTGATAAATCCAAGAAGCAGAAATACAAGCTTAAGCTGCTTCTATGGGATCCTGGCCCTGTAGTCCCGGCACTAACTAAGGAGACTAAGGTGGGAAGACTGCTGGAGTCTAGGAGACCAGGTTGGGCAACATGGAGAAACCTCTCCTGAAAGTTAGATAAGACAAAAGTGAAAGAAAGAAAAAGGAAAATACACTTTGTGAGTTCAAGACCAAGCCTGAGCAACATAGCAAGGCCCCATCCCAAAATGTCTTCATTATAAACCACCCTATACTATTTCAGTTTTGCCACATACATATATAAACCGTTTTTAAAGACCTGTTAGGATGGGGAAGCAGAAACACACACGCACACACACACAACCAACCACACAGAGAATGAAACAGGGAAATTCTGATAGACACCCAGCGACAAACCGTCCTAGTCAGAATCGGACACCCCCAGGAAATTCAATTGGCAGTGGAGATAGAGGCTATGAATTCCAGACTCAAATTTAGCAAATCTCTAAAGCGAGACACCAACACGTGTTGCATGCTGTGACAATTACACCATTTTAGTCATCAGAAAACCAAGGAGAGAGGTCAACAAAGGTGTGCAAGTTTATCCTTGTGCCCTGAGTGGAATTACAAACTCGTCTCTTCGAAAACCTCCACGTTTGCACAGCACTCTCACCTTCCCTGGCCTAGTGACAGCACCACAGACCGGAAGACTGTGGCATCGGGAGTCCTGGCACGGTTCCCACCCAAAGAACCGACTGTATCACAGGCGGACAAAACCTAGGGAGAGAGGACTACTTGGGGAGGGAGGGGAGATCGGGGCCTCAGGACGGTGGCGATGACTGACAGAACCACGGCCCCGCGCGGCGCGCCGCCGACAGCCAGCGGGCTAGGGTAGGGAAACCCATTCGGCCAGGGCAGGCGGGCCGTGGACGGACTCAGACCCCGCCCTTCCCTCCCGGGCCGAGGCGGGAGCCGGGCGATCGCCAAGTGTCACCCGGCCAGGGCTGAGCGCGCCAAAGCAGAACCCACCCCCGGGAGACGCGGCGGCTTGGGGGCGGGCTCTCCCCTTCCTCCGCCCGCGCGGCGCTCATTCATTCTTGAGGCGGGCCGCCAGTCTCCCGGACCAGCAATCCCGGCACCGCAAGCCCACCGGACGCTTTGTCTCCCACCGGCCGGAAACTGGGGCGCGCTCTCGTGCGCGCGCACGGGCAGCAGCCCCCCGCAAACGTGGCCTGTGGGGGCCGCCGCGCCCTCTCCGCGCGGAGGGCCGTTCTGCACCCTGGGGGTCTCAGGTCCGCAGCCCCAGGCGTGCACTTCGGCCGAGCGTCCTGAGTACCCATGACCTGGGCATCGCGACCCCCACCATGCTACCACCGAGTCCCCCCGCGGCACCCCGCCCCGCTGTGAAACACGGCACTCCTTCTCCTTTCGGGACAGGGCTCCGGGCCTCGGCTCGTCCTCCCCAGTGCAGACCCCCGCGGCCGTGGCGCCCTTGCCCCTCCGGGATGGCCAACGCGGCCTCCCGCGAGCGACACTCACTTGAGGAGCAGCTGGTCGTGCTCGGCCTTGCACTTGCCCAGCTCGATCTGCAGCTTGGCGCGCTCGCGGGCCGTGTCGTCGAGCGCGCGTCGCGCGTCGGCCAGCTCCGTCTCGTAGAGTGCCTTGAGCCCGGTGAGCTCGCGGCCGCGCACCTCCTCGCGCTCCGTCACCTGCAGCTGCAGCGCGCTGTTCTCCGTCTCCAGACTGCGCACCTTGTCGATGTACACCGCCAGCCGGTCGTTGAGCTCGCGCAGCTCCTCTTTCTCCTGCAGCCGTGACAGCCGCGTGGGGCTCAGCGGCGTGGCGGGGCCGCCGGCGCGGCTGCCCGTCCGCGGCGGCACGGGGGTCGCGGTCGCCATGGCGGGCGGTGGGGCGATCGGCGGGGAGGCCGCGGGCGGCACCAGCACTTGAAGGGGCTGCAGGGGCGAAGCCGGGACCCAAGGCACAAACCGGCGACCCGCGCTCGCAAACAGAGGCCGGCGTGGGGTGGGAAAAGCACCTGGGATGGCGGCAGCGGGGTTACGGCACAAAGAGCAAAGGGGGGAGGACTACGAATCAATCGATCGATGGCAGAATGCCCTTTGTAAGAAAGCACGCTCGCGCGCGCACACACACACACGCACACACACGGGGAGAGGCGAGGGTAACCGGGAGGCCGAGCAGGGTACGCGCAGCCGCCGCCGAGTCTCCCGCCCGCAGCACTTTTGTTTCCTCTCCGGCTGCGCTCAGCGGCGGGCGGGGGAGCAGGGGCGGGCGGCGGGCCAGCAGCGGCGTGGGGGAGAGGGGGGCGCTGGGGGCGCGGGCCGCACGCTCCAACATGGCGGCGCATCACGTGACCGTCGCCAGCCAATGGGAAGCGGGCACCGCGCTCCTGCAGCTTGGGGGCCGGCCTGCAGATTCAAAATCGCGCCCTCTGGCAACCGTCGGCTCCGCGCGCTGGGCTGCAAGTGAACTGAGGCGGCAGGGAGGGGCGCCCGAACTGCCTATCCCAAGGCTCTGGGCCCAGCGCCCGCCGGACCTCCCCCCGCCCCTTGAGGACCCCTGGATGGGCGTGACTTGCGAGTGGCGGGAAAGAGCCGTAGGCTTCCGGGGCGGTTCTGCGCCGCCGCCCACAACCGGCGGTTCAGGGAAATTCAAATGTAAACGAGAACAGCCAAGGGCGACAGTGGGAGGCTGGCGGCCGCGGGCGTGGTGACCTAGCCCCGCGCCCAGCGGGACCCTCGCAGCCGCCCGGCCGCTGCACTTAACGCCACGCGGTGCGCTGGCGACCGTGCTCGCCGGTTCCGAGTGCGAGCCTGTGTTGTCCCGTGAACCGAATCTGAGCTCTTGAGCCGACAGATTATTTATCTCGGAAAACCCAGCGGTCCTGATTTAAAATCATTTGCCGCCAGTGCCGAAGGGCGGTCCCGATCTACTTCTGTCTTCACAGTGTGAGGGTTTGTAAAATGAAACACAGCTCACCAAGGATTTGATTAGCACGACGAGTAAGTAGCACAAGCCGTGGTCATGGTTCGCTAAAATCAGATGCATAAGAAGCCGAACTTGTGAAAATGGAAACAGCTTTTTGCTTTAAAGAGAAATCCCCCACCATGTAATTGGCAGGTCGTTATCAACAAAGTCCATTAGTCCCTTTGAAATAGTTTTGTTTTTAACGTTGAAGCTAATGTTTGTTGGGACTGTGCATCCTGAACTTGGCTCTCCGTGGAATATGCGTCCTCATAACCATCCTGTGGTGTGGGAACTGGATTATTTCCACTTGAAAAATCCATCCATTTATAGAAGAGTTTCATTTCACCTGCCCAGCCGGCAACAGGACTGCATTTGAACCCAGATTTTTAATTAATTCGAGTCTGGCTCTAACACATAAGTACAGGTTCAGTTTCTTCAATAATGACCGAAGTGGAGAGCAGGGTGTTCTTTAACTATTAATCAAATCGTGTGCACAGACTTAATGAGGGGCATCAGGCCTCGTATTCATTCCTGGCTGTGAGTGATACTCTTATGGTCATATTTCCCGTCCTGTTACCTAAAATATCTCCTTTACCTGCTGGAGAATTTGAGTTGAAAAGCTTAGATTTTAAAGTTGGTGTAAGGCATTTCTAAGCATTTAACTAGTCAGGTACATTTTAATAAAAAGGATCTTAAAAATCTAAATTACTGTTCAGGAAATGAGGCCTAAAGAATGCAAGTGGTGTATCCTACCAAGGCTGTGGAGTCAGGATTGGAATGTATCCACTCCCTGGATTGAGGCCTTTTCTCTCTGATGGTACCTTCAATCCATGGATCATGGGGTTTTCATTCCTTACTCCCCTCTACTTTGGACTTTAGAATAAAATTTGGAAGTTTTGCTTTAAAAGTATTTTCTGTCCATTATTGAAATTTTAAGACTGCATGTGAAATGATTCCAGCCATGATCTGTACTGCTCTCCATACCGGGCAGTTTTCTCTGAGTAGAGTCCCACAATCTCATATTCTTTTATGCGATACATTATATCCTATTACCTAAAACCACACATAAATCCAAGAGTTGAGGATTTGCGGTTGATAGCAGTATAACTTTGAAGAAGTTATGCTGCGGTTTCTTCTCAGGAAAAGAAATGATTCCTTGTTGCAGGAAAGGTTTGTAAAGATTAAATAGAATATAACTGTGATAGACATAATTTATCATGGCTAAATAGTAATTTCTCTTAATAGTAATCTGTGTCTCCAGACAAAATCAATAAAAACAAATAAAAGATTTTTAGCTTAGTTTTAAGCAATTATAATGACATTTTTGGTCATGTCCTTTACCGAACGTACACTTAACTTATTCTCTACATTTTTCCCAAACCTAACTGTAGCTGGAGCATGGCCTATTTCTTCCGACTCTTTTATACTGAGTTTGTCCAGCCCTCTTCATTCAAATAATTCCTAAACTCCCATCACTTCCCAACTTTTTCCCCACTGAACTACTAGTAACAAAACCTATGCAAGTTTGCTGATAACACTTCTTCGTTGACGAATGTAACCATGATTTCAAATATCATGCTTTGTTTTTCCTATAGACCTTCATTTACTTGTCAGGACACATATCCTAATTATTGGTTAGATCATACTTGGCCCCCACCAAGACTCAACACGCCATGTCATTGTTTCCCTCTTCTATATTCCTACTACAATGATAGCAACCTCACTAAATAGAAATTTGACATTTACCCTATTTCCTGTATGTCATTTGGATCTGGAACAGAAAAACATAGGATGCCCAACAGATCTGGGGTCCAGACTAGGATGGGGATGGGAAGGTAGGGGAGAGAGAAGGGGAGACTGAAAGCTAGCAGTAATCTACTTTTGTCCAAAGAGAGGAGAGTGACAGCTGGCAGATAGCTGAGTGTACAGGGCAAACAAATAGGATAACTAGAGCTGAGGCACAAAATAAAAAAAGTTTGCTAAGTAGTACCTCTTCAATATATCTACTGAATGAAGAAATAACAATCTGTGGCCTCTTACTCAGCCAAGTGGCTTCATTCAGTAGTCTTTGCAAAACTCATACTTTTTCCAATTATAAAAGTGTAAAAATATAAATGTTTCAGAAGACTGAGTAACTATCCAGAATCTCTTACAACTCTGTCACAATTTTTGTGTCTTGAAAAGAGCCTAGAATTTTGAAGTACAGTATATTTATCATCTTTGATAAGATTGTTCTCAGAGTACAGCCACTGCAAGTTTATATACTACTCAAAATTGTCTTCTAAATACACTTGTTAAGATCTGGACATATGACATTAGCATTGGTGGTGTTATTTTCCTTTAACTCGGTAGTTCATCTTACTGATAGCCTAAAACCAGGTAAGAAAAGAAAAACAAAGAAAGAAAACAAAACTGAGTATGGTGGTGCACATCTGTGACCTAGCACTCAGGAGTCTGAAGCTGGAGGGAACTTAATTTGAGGTCAGCCTGGAAATTTTTACTTTAGTATTTCAGCCATATTTAAGGCCAAAATATAGTCATAACACTACAACATTTTCTTTAAATTAAAGATGTATATGTATTTTTTATTTGCATTTATTTTTTGCTGAATTTATTCCAGTGTCATACGCTTTTGTTCCATCTGTGTAACCTCCTCTTCTTGTTTAGGGATAGTTTGCTCCTTCTCAGGGAGAGTCATCTCAATGTAACAGGGTCATGTCTGGGTTAATCCACCATGAGTCTGTAAGTGCAGCTGGGCATGTTGGGTGCTTTGTTAACCTGGACATGCTCAATGACTAGAGAGAGACTCTGTATCTACACTCTTAAGTTCTCTGCAGTATTCTTTCCTTGTGCAGCAAAAGTTTAGCACTCTTTTGGGGACACAGACCTTGTGTCCACCCCCACTGTTTGGCCTGGACACACCTGCTGACTCCACCATTGTAACACAGAAATGGCACACATTGCTTCTTTAAAATGACATCTTTCAGGTACTTGGTGACTTTTGAGATATGCTTATCCTTGATAGCATGGACAGTTTCACCAGTGTTCTTAAATCTCAAGGATTTGAACCTTTAATTTGCATGATTTTTGTAAAGTTTTCTGGGTCAAGAGGGTAGCAAAACCTTTTTTTTTTTTTTTTGGTGGTATTGGGGTTTGAACTCAGGGCCTCCGCCTTGAGCCACTTCACCAGCCCTTTTTTGTGATGGGTTTTTCGAGATAGGGTCTCTCAAACTATTTGCCCCAGCTGGCTTCCAACCATGATCCTCCTGATATCTGCCTCCTGAATAGTTAGGATTACAGGCATGGCCACCAGCGCCCAGCTACGCATCTGATTTTTAACAGCTTCTTTTTAATCTTACAAATGTTCACCCCTTCATCCTATAATCTGCATCTCTGCCTTGAGAGTAGTAAAAATAACAATAAAGATTGGTGTCAAAGTATAAGATTTACAGATAAATTTGGCTGTTTGTAATCTGATTGGAACTGCCTAGTTCAAAGAGTTAAGGGCTTTCCCTTTTCATGGTCATTCTTCAGTAGGTCACCTTATCTTCATGTATGGTTTACTCCTACCCAGTAATATTTTAATTTATTGGCTTCATTCTTTCACTGTAGAAATGAGATTCTTCCTAAAATATCTTCCCCACTAACCTTCTTCTCTCATGTTGCCTGAAGACTGTCATTTGGATCAACCTGAAAAGGTAAGGGAATGTTTCCAGACTCTTCAGCTAAGTCAAGAGAGCAGAGGAAGAAAGAAAATACAATGTTGTGTAGTTGATATGGTAAAACAAAAGAATGAAGTTTCAACCAGGTGTCAGTATGTTCTTCTTTCCCTTTACCCCAGTTTTGTCATTCTTCCCAGGACTGTACTATCAGGCCAGGCTAAAGACACCAATCTCACCTTTTAAGATCAATGATAAGATTTTACAGATTTGAAAAGAAAGACAATCTGGCTGAACCAGTCCCTTCCATTTCATCATTAAAAACCTCCCTAGTAGGGAAAGGACACTATAAAGTCAGATGCACTATTGATATCACGCTCCAAGGTAGTTACTAAGGCTCCAAGAGTAGATAGAGATGGCTTGTGCCTCACAGAAAAGCCCTCTTGTTTCTTCCATCTTGGAGCAGCAAAGCAGAATCCAGAAGCAGCCTTCTCTAAAACAATGGTAATCAGCAGACTCAAAAAGATAGTAGCAAGAGAGCTGAGGATATACTTGAGTAGTAGAGGGCTTGGCTAGCAGACATGAGGCCTTGGGTTCAATCTCCAACTCAAAAAAAAAAAAGTGTAAGAC